CGCGGATCTGCGTGAGGGGTGGCACCGAATTTCAGAAATGTGGCAAATCCCCTGTGTTTTTGGACCCTGACCCCGCGGATCTGCGTGAGGGGTGGCACCGAATTTCAGAAATGTGGCAAATCTCCTGTGTTTTTGGACCCTGACCCCGCGGATCTGCGTGAGGGGTGGCACCGAATTTTAGAAATGTAGCCAATCCCATGTGTTTTTGGACCCTCACCCCGCGGATCTGCTTGAGGGGTGGCACCGAATTTCAGAAATGTGGCAGATCCCCTATGTTTTTCGACCCTCACCCCGCGGATCTGCGTGAGGGGTGGCACCGAATTTCAGAAATGTGGCAAATCCCTTGTGTTTTTGGACCCTCACCCCGCGGATCTGCGTGAGAGGTGGCACCGAATTTCAGAAATGTGGCAAATCCCTTGTGTTTTTGGACCCTGACCCCGCGGATCTGCGTGAGGGGTGGCACCGAATTTCAGAAATGTGGCAAATCTCCTGTGTTTTTGGACCCTGACCCCGCAGATCTGCGTGAGGGGTGTCGATTTCGAGCCCCCCCAGCAATTCAGACAACGCGCCCAGGAGACGCTAAAAATTCCGTTTGGGCCCCCCCCCCTATCGCGCGGTCAATCAACTAGTTACAGTAACCAGCAAGAAGCAGAAGTGTAACACTGGAAACTACAAGCTACAGCTGGTACAGGAAACTGCGAATCACGTGCCTACAGCCTGGTGGCCCCACAAGGGGGCCGGCGGATAAGGAGAGGGAAAGGAAGGAGGAGGAGGAGGACGAGGACAAGGAGGAGGAGGAGGAAGGGGAGGAGAAGGAGGAGGGAGAAGGAAGAAGGATGATGAGAAGGAGGATGAGGGCGGAAGGACGGAGGGTGGGAGGACGGACGCAGGAAGAGGACAGAGCGTGAAGGAGGGAGCAGGACGGGGCGGGGGCCTGTCCTCTCCCCCCGCCCTCCTCCCTTTCACTCCCCCTTTCTCTTCTCCCGCCTATTCCCTCCCTGCTCTGCATCCCCCTTTTGATTGCCCCGGCCCTCTGCCCTCCCCGTCCGTCCACTTCGTTTGAGTACAGTCGGGTCGCTGAAGAAGGAACCCTTTTCGTTGGGGAGGGGCTCCGTGTTCCTTAAGTGTTTCACAGCTTGCCTCAGGTTTTCCTTATGTTTTCGACGGGAAATCGAAGTTTAACCCATGGAAAAAAGGGGCCTCGTTCCTTATTTAGGGTTCCTTAGGTCAACGCCCCGACTGTAGAGCCGAGGGTCAGAGAGCGCCTTCCTCGGCAGGACCATCAACAAGGGACGTCGAGGTGGTCAAACGCCTCGCCGGTTAAGCCGACGAAGACGTGCAACATCCAACCGTTCGCTTCTGTCCAGAGTTTTCGCTCGACGACGGGTGGGCTGGGCCAGCCGCCCGCGAGTGGTTCGATATTGACGAGGAGATCCTGGTGCCTGAATAGTGTGAGTGTGATCTCCTGCGCGCGGTCGAGGCACAGCGCGGTCTGTCGCCGCGCCTCGGGGGGGCACTTGAGTGTGATGAGGAGCACCTTGCCAGCAGCACTGTGCTCCGAAAGGCGGTTGGCCACAAACCATGTCGCCCTCACCTGTGTCCGCCGTGTCGCTGCAGTCTGTCCCGCTCTGCGTAAGCGACCCCTTATTCGATGGGTGCCCCGCGAGCTTAATCAGAGCGATGATGGATCGAGACTTTTCGACCCGAACTACCCGTCCAAGACCTTGGCAAGCACCTGGAACTGTAAGACATGTGACAAGGGTGGGGCGGTCGAGAAGCGGAAGATTGCACAGGCCTTGGCACGCCGCGAGCGTGACCATGCGCGACGTGATCAGATGCGGCGCGATCAAGCACGGCGCGATCAAAGCATTTCAAGGACGGCACAAGCAAGCACGACACAAGCGAGCACAACATGTACTACAGTAACGAGAGCAATCTGCAGCCAACGCGAGCGAGCACCACACGCACCAGCACTGCACTCACGGGCAGCACACGCCCCATGAATGCACGACCAGAGCACCGCACACACAAGCCTTGCATAAGCCAGCAGCAGCGAGCCAGACCGCGTGCCACACGCTGCTGCGCCTCGGTCCGTTGCCAGCCTGGGCTCCGCCATCAGGGCGCTCGACTGTGCCACGGGGCGGTCCCGACGAAGCTCGGAGCAGCCGAGGGAAGCGGCGGCCAGGCCCAGCCGCTGTCTCGGTCAAGACGCCGGCGGCAGCGGGCCCACGTGGGAGGAGCCCCCGCGGCCTGCCGAGCGCTCGCGGACCTTGTCGCTGTCGCCCAGACGGCGCTGCCCGACCCGGAGGCGCTGGGCGATCACGAGGAGGTGGAGGCTGGCGAGAGTGACGCGACCACGGGTGCGGAGGTGGAGCAGGAGGCTCGGCGGACGCGGCAGATGCGGCAGACCGCACAGCACCGCGCGGCCACCGTGGCCCGAGGCAGAGTCTCACCGACCTTGGCGAGCATCGCCCTGTTCGAGCGGTCCGCGGTGCGGCAGGGCACGGAGCTCAGATGCCCGCGCGAGGCGCAGAGCTTCCTGGAGTCCGAGCAGGTGGTCGGCCACAGTCAGGAGGGAAAGAAACACACAGACACAACTAATCGTCGACTCCCCAGAAAATATTGGAAAATATGGGAAGTGGGGGGGAAGACAAAAACCCAGAAAATATAGGAAAATATGGTGAATATGTTTATTTGTGTGTATTTATTTGTGTGTCCTGGGGCCCCTTCACACAGGCTCGTCGCGGACACCGAGGGGGACGCTGCCCTCGCGCGCTGGATCAGCGGGCTTTGCGGACATGACCACTCGGCCTACCGGGGGGATGTGCTGATGCTGGCGCTCGTCCACGTCCAGCTGCGCGTCGGCCGCCTTGGGGACTCACGGCTCCCCTTGGCCTGGCACGCCCGTAAAAGAGGGGACACGGTTGTGTGGGCGCCGTTCGAGGCACCCAGTCGTGAGGATGCTTTGGTCGTCGCTGGCGTGGGGCCTGTGCTGCCGCGGCCAGTGGCTAATGGCCCTGTGCGTGATCTGGCTAGTTGTGACATCGCCGACCCAACGAACCGGTGACCATCCAGCGGCGGGACTTGGTGAGGCCAGCTCAGGGCGGGTCAAACGATTGGGTAGTCATTCTCTTCCCATTGACACGGGCTGCTACGAGAAAGAACCAGATACAAGACGAAGACATTTTTCTCTCCAACATGCTTTATTCCTGGCTGCCGAAAGTGATCCCGGCCTTCGCCGAAGGCGGGCCCAGGTCGAGGCGGTTTCCACCACCTACCCAGTGGCGGAGTTCAACCTCGCGAGAGAGAAGTTCCAGCGCGGGAAGTTGGTGCCCTACCAGGGTCGTCACTCGGGTGCGTTGCTGGACCGGCAGGGTCGCTATCGAGACCATGCAGAGCTCAAGCAGAGGAAGGCGGCAGGGCGAGTCGTCCCTGAAGTGGTGCGAGAACGCCGCCCGCCTAAGCCTGTCCGCGCCCCGGCTGGCCCCGTGGCCGCTCGCCGAATTCAAACAGGCGGGCGACCAGCTTCGGCCGCGTGGCGGCCAGGTCGTTGATGATCGGATGAGTCTGACGACCCGGCTTGTGGAGAAGGAGTCGTCGGCCGTGCGGGGGGAGGTGGCGGCAGTTGGGTTGCGCGAGGTTTTGCTGCGCTGCGCTGCGCAGTTGTGGCCACGGCCACCTTCGCCCTCCTCCTCCTCCTCCTCCTCCTCCTGGTCTCCTCCCTCCCGCCACGCCTCCGCCGCCTCCCTCCTCGGGCGGCCAGATGGGCGTGCCCGGCGTGCACCCTGCTCAACGAGGCCGCGGCAGGCGCGTGCGACGCCTGCGGCACCTCGCGCGGCTGAGCGGAAAAGCGGGCCGTGCGCGAGGCCGCCTCGGGGGGTGGGGCCGGGGTCCACTGATGCCAGGGGAGGAAAGAATACCGCTGCCGCTGCAGTTCCCTCCTCGCCACGGCTGGATGTTCTCCCAAACTTTGGTCTGCACCCCTGGAGAGGTCCGGGGGAGTAGCGGTATTGCTGCCGTTCTGTCCCCCCATGATGTGTTTGGAGGCCGTCTGCTGAGGCACCAGGGTGCTGAGGGAGGCTCTTCTTGAAGCGTCCAGGTCGTTCTCGGGGGGTTCGCGGTGGTGGGTTCGGAGGAAGAGGGAAACACGTGGGTACGAGGAAGGATTCGGTTGGTCTTGGGAGCTCCTTGAGCTTCTGATAGATAATTGGAAGTCCTGGGTGGTTATCTAGAGCTTTAGAGGGTTATGCCTCTCCCTACTTCCATTTCTCCTTCCTCCTCCTCCCCCTCTTCATTCTTCTCCCCATCCCCCTCCGCCTCCCCCATGCACGATATCAGCTTCAACGGCAAAACTTTTCGCATGTTGCCTTCCTCCTTCCTCTTTCCGTCCTCCTCATCCCTCCCGCCTCCCCCGTCCCCCTCTTCCCTCTTCCCTCCTTCCCTCCTTCCCTCCTTCCCTCCTTCACTCCCCCCTCCTCCTCGTCCCTCTCCCCTCCCCCTCTTCCCTCATTCCCTCCTTCCCTCTTCCCCCTCCTTCTCTCCCCCGTCCCCCATTCTTCTGAGTAGTTCATCTTCGTCGCACCACCACTCGTGCCGGCAGGGCGGGCCAGGCGTTTCGTGCGAGGCGTTCTCGCAGCTTCTGCCCGCAAGCTGAGCAGCAGTTGCACGGCTGGTGTCGCGATTAATTCCAACATGTGCTTGTCGTTTTCGCGCCGCGCACGTGCGACTGTGCGTGCTGCACCAGATGCACAGGTCGTTTCCAAGTTGCGGATAGATGCCTATCTCCGCTCACACTGATCTTAAACGTCTCTCCAACAGCGGCGCGTATGGGGTTGTGGCCGTTTTCAATAACGTTGGGCAGGCACGCCTCAAATGCTTGTAATGGCTACCCGGGCGGAGAGCGTTTTTTCAACATGGAGCTCGTGTTTCAGATGTTCCTATGTAAGGCTTGTTTTTGCGAAACAGGTGTGTTCCCGTCCGCAACCATGTTGGCTCAAGCCGAAAGGGGGGCCCAAGGCGAGCTGCCCACAGGCTGCTTCCTGCGCGCAACACGGCCGAGTGCATCGGCATACAGTCTTTCCATGTCCCTCGTGCTGCCCAGTTGCAGCCCAAGGGGTACCAGCGCACCATTTAACACTGCACTCAGCAACCAGACTGCGCCATGGCGGGCGGCAAGCCAAGGCGCTGGGCTGCGTGTCAGAATTGCGGTCCGCGCAGTTGGGTGTATCTTGACGGTGGTATTCGTCAATGCAAACACTGTAGTTGCAAGTTCCAGCCGCCAAATGGACGGTTCCAGAAGAATAGGTAAAGGGACGGATCATGGTTCAGGAGCCGTTGGCGCATCGACTGCCAACAACGGCCAGCCAGGCCAAAGTGATTTGTTCAAGCATTGGCAGAAAGGATACGGAGGAGTGGGATCGCCGCTTTCCACAACCAGCTGAAGATGCAGATGAGGAGAAGGCAGATCCTGCTCACCAGCAAGTTCGAGGAGGTGGCAAAGGCTCAGGAGGAGATGGAGGTTGATGCGCCTTCGGCGGCCCCTGCTTTGGTGCAGCACCTCGAGCCTCTCGAGGCTTTCATCCCGGAGGAGGAGAAGGCAGAGTGGGCAGCCAAAAAGGAGGATATCTGCCAATCTGGCAAAGCGCTGCCGCCTCGGGCAGCGCAAGCACAGCCAACACCAGTACCAGTACGACCGCTTCCAAAGGCTGCTGCAGTTCCTGTGGCGAAACAGCCGTCGGTACCTGTGCCTCTGCTCCGCGGGCATCAAAATCGGTATGGAAGGCAGGCTGGCCCTGGTCACGGCGGGGGGCGCCAGCGCTCCGTCATGGCGAGGAAGCAGCTGACCCTGATCGTGGCTTTCGCCCCCCACGAGGTGTAGCTGGAGCCACTGGTGATCTTGCCGGCGCAGCTGCCTCAGCTGCAGAACCCGATCGCACTCGGACCGGTGGGCGGCAACACATGCTGGGTTCCTGCAGGACTGTGCGAGCAGGAAGCCGATTCCATCTCAGTAGCTAGCACAGAATGCCAGAACGACTTCAACAGGTTTGGCGATGAGTATTCCGACAGCAATTTCGATTTCGACCAGAACCAGCATGGATGGGAAATTGGGGATGGGGGAGAAGCTATGCTGGCGGAACAAGAGGCACGCGTGCCAAGGATCATACAATTCCGGCGAGCAAAAAGGGATCGCGAGGGAGCCAGTCTTTGGCAGACGCGGGGAAGCGCGCAAGTGCTGCGACAGTCTGGCAAGCTACAGTTTCGAATACGGGGAGGAGCGGCC